AAAAGCACAGAAATTTTACTTTCACTTTCGTTATTCGGTTAGTCGTTATTCGCAACAATCGATAGCCCCATTTTTATTCGTGGCACGTGAAACTCCATGGTATTTTAAAATCACGCGGATATAAAACATGCAAAGGGAAAGCCAGTTTCTAGGATTTAAATATCTATCTAGATATTATTTTTGATTATTCGTTTATAGTAGACACACACACACACACACACACACACACACATATCTAAAAAATATTTTATCTTTAATACAAATTATAATAATACACTTTCGTAAAAAAGTCTATCTTCGTTTCGTTCTATTTTCATTTTTCACGACTCTCAGCGTGATTGCATATTACGCGAGGATTATCTATTGTCTATTCATCCGATTATTTTTCAAAATTTCTTTATTAAAACTTTAAATTCTTTATTAAACTTGTAATAAACTCGTATTTAAACGGAATCATGTTCCATCTCTAAACGAGGCACGTGTATTTCGATTCTTGCTAGATAATAAATCATAGATATATCTACAATAATCTATTAAACGACGCGACGCGTTCGCGCGTAAATCGCGCCATTAGATTTGAATATTCGTGAACGTTCGTGCACGTTCGTGTTTGGCCGAAAATGAATTCCGTGGGGTTGTTGCAACTACGAAGGATATTTATCGGTAGTTAAATGGTATTCGTACACGGATGAGAAGTGAGTCGAGTTCGTATCCGTACGTATACGTTTCGTTATATATTTTTCGATCAATCGAGTTTCTTCGAACTCGTCAAAAATTTGCGAATCGAACGAAACGGTCGGTCGTTACACCGCGCGATGTTTGGTTAAAAATTCGCGGTTAAAACTGGAACTGATTCGTGAATGTTCGTATAGACTCGGAAACGATCAAATATTTCCTGCGCAAGGATCACCCACTACTGTGCTATATCGATGACCAGTGCGAATCCATTCCTTCGCGAGGACGTTTTACGTCGCACGAGTCGCACGATCGGCAAAATTCGATTGTCGATTCCTCGTGAAAATCGGTCAATTATTACTCTAGGCTAGTGTTACGAACGAACGTGGAAGATGCTGGCCAACAAGTGTCAAACTGCGCTTTCTGCTCGAACGTTTTCACGTTGGCAATTGTTCCAAGGTATTTTCTTTCATCTATCTCGTTAACGTTTTTCGCTCGTTCTTTCGCTTTTCCCATGTGTTCCATGTTCCGTGTTCCATGTCAATGGAACGAATTGAAACGAATTGAAACGAGATACGCGACGAGAGGTTACTTGGTTAGCAGCGTGTCAACGCGAGTAAATCAGTCCGCGCACGAAATATACACCCAAAGAATCGATAACCCGCTTTTTTGTCTCTCCTGAAAAAAATTCCCACTTTTATTTAATCTTCGTTCCGCGATATTACACGAGTTCTATGCACGCGTAAGCGCAAAAATCTTATCGCCTAACCAACATTTCGGCTCATTAACTTAATCATTCGACTTACGAAATACACGCGTAGCAATATATCGACGAACGTATGCGTTTAAATATATTTTTTAAGAAATGCTTTTTACCACATACCAGATAACAAGTGAATACATCTATAACGTATATTTCGAACTACCACGACTTACTTTCTTTTTATCCATTATTATGTACGAGACAACTTGATTGAACAAACTTTGAAAAAATTCGATCGTACAATGATTAAATATAAAGTTATTACGTTTATAATGTACGATACGCGTTACGTATACATTTTTAGAGATATCAATGAAAAAAAACTTAGGATTTTATCATGGCAAAGTAAAAATATATCGGTATAAAAGAAAATTTAATTTTCTACTCGAATTCGATGCATTTTGATATCGTTTATTCATTATCCATTCATTATTTTATAACAAAGAATCCCTTTAAATTTTTAAAATTCAGTTACTTCGTTCTTATCTGAAATAATGTTTATCGCCATCCATTTTATCGCTTATCTTATCGAAATTGAAAATATCATACAATTGAACCAATTGTTCGTCTTTACATACATGTATACATGTATTATATACACGTATTTGTGTCATCAACCTTGTATATTTGGAGAAATTAATTCCATGCATTATGTACGTATTTATGTAAATTAGATTTATTTATACATTATAATTTAATGAAATTATACACCTTTCGTTCGATATCAACATCATATTATCATACTATACGTATAAAAGAAAATTAATCGTCAAAAATACGTAAATTTCTATAATGTCGTATGATCGATACAAATCCATATAATACATATGTGATAATAAAATATTTCCTCGCGCGAGATATTCGTTGGAATCGCGTATTAGATTTATATTCGATAGAAAAATAACAGTGAATTTTATTCGAAATAAAAATTTATCGTTACGATGATAAAGATCGCAAAAAAAAAAAACACGAATTAATGTTAATCGTTCGAAAGAGATATCGAGCGTCTTTTCGAAATAAATTTTTACGATAGATGAGAGAAATTGATTTGTGTCGAAGATGATCGTCGTTAATAAATACATATCTGTCTATATACCGTACTGTACGATTGCTATACTATACGATAATAGAAAACAAACATGAAATGTATATATCGTTGACGATAGTATAACTTATCTAAAAGTAGTACGTCGATACGACAACCAATTACCCGCAAATGACATCAATGAAACTAAACACTCGATCTAATAAATTGAGAGTTGAGTGAGACGTGATTGAAGCGAACGTTATATACGCTACGCTGTGTTATGCTACGAATCAAACACGATACTTTTTTTTTATATCCCATATACGTATAAACGAAAGAAGAAAATATTTATTATAATTATATATTTTAACGTAGAATAGAGTGTATTTTATTATTCGTTAAAATTTCATACGATTAAAAAACTTGGGTAAATGTAAATATTTACTTCTTACAAGTAATGAACGTACGAGAAAGAAAAGTTGGAAACGAAGGATTCGTGATATTTATCAGTAAATAGATCGTTTCGATTTTGTTAATAAATTACCATCATGTTCGTTTATATATTTATCGTACATATTTACAACTATCGTTCATTATTAAACTAAAAACATCTTTTTTGTGAATTCATGTACAGGGCATGCGACTGTTTGGAAGAGATGTCTAACCGTAAGTTTATCGGAAGAACCAAATATGCCAGTGATCGCGACAGAAATACCAGGACCTCGATCACGTAGTTTGTTTCAAGAACTTAACGCGATACAAGTACGTTCAAAATCAAATTTCATTTATAATTCTATTATGTATGTTGTATTTAGAAATATATATCTATCCTTCTCTCTCACGATCCTTTAATAATTTGAGAAGAAACAGTTGGCAAGAGAATAATTATAATTATAATTACAAATTATATACGTTTAAATATCCGTAAAATACGTAACGATCTGGTTTTCTAAAATTCATATGTTTATAAACATATCGATGTGTCGTCTTTCGAAATTACAAATTATTATTGTGCTCGATTAATAAAAAATGAATTGTGTTACTTGTAAGTTACGTTAGAGATGAAATGGATTGAAATCTGTTGAAATCTGTGATTGCAGCAAGCCTCTTCCGTACAATTCTTCGCAGACTACGAAAAATCAGTAGGTAATTATTTAATGGACGTTGATGGGAATATTTTGCTCGACGTTTATATGCAAATTTCATCGATGCCTCTGGGTTACAATCATCCAGCTATGTTAAAAACTCTCGCTGATCCGGTTAATCAAGTATGCGAATCTTTCAAATTTTCTACTTTTTATCTATTTTTTTTCTTTTTTTTTTTTATAGAATATTTTATTTAATTATTATGCAAAATAAATATATTTATTATCTTCGTAGAGTAAAGTGTAAAATTTATTTGCTCGAATCTAAATAAATGCGAAGGAACGATATGTATTAAAAATATCTTTATTTTTAAATTACAGAAAATTATAGCAAATAGGCCTGCATTAGGTATCTTTCCTGGAAAAGAGTGGCCGGATAAACTGAAAAAAATTTTGCTGCATAAAGAGGTACGTCTTCTTATACGCTTAATTATTATATGTTATGCAATATTTTATTGTTTTAAAATATTGAATTAGAAACATCTTCGATAATATATATTTATTAATCGTTGATTCTATCATTTTTCAACTATCCAAACACAATTTTCTCTTGGATAATTTCAAAAATATTCAAATAAAGGAATCGATTTGGAAGAAATGTCATATACACGCAATGTCGTGTACAACGAAATCATTGTTCCGAAGATGAACATCTTACGTAAATATGAAAAATATTCTATTTCATCTCATTTTTTAATTACATCAATTTTTTTTTTAAATTATTGGAAACAATTATTTGGAAAAATGGAAATGATTTGCAAACAAAACTTAATATCTGACGTTGAACCTTGTGTTTTAATACTGTAAATATTTCCTCTTAATATCTCACGTATACATATATGTAAATACGTATGAATCATTAAAGTATATGCGATGGTGAAACTCTTTGCATATAAACGTATTTTATTTTAATTCTTTATAGAAAACGAAACGCTACCGATTTAATTTCGAAACTAATTATTTTATTCGAATGATATTTGTTATTTAATCTTATAGAAGAAACTTTATTCACGAACGAAAGATCAAGATCATTTTATACCATGTTTAATATGTGATAACGTTTGAAACATTCATCGCATGCAATCTTATCTCAACCTTATTTATCTTCTCATCGAAATATCGTAATATTACAAATTTATATATTCAATTTAGAAAAGGGAATTGGCGTGGAATTTTTTACAACAAAATGACTTTTTCACGATGTTTTAGAGTCGAAAGGGACAACCGAATATAACATTATTATCTCGACTAAGAGCAAACAACAGTATCAAGTGCTATTTATTTCCTTGTTAAAAAAATTCGTTACTTTCACACACTTTCGACGTACTCTGATGATTCATGTTAGGAGAGAATATTTATGGAATTAGAATATAACGTGTATATATTTTTATTTATTTATTTTACTATGTAATGTACAGATTGCTCCGCCAGGATTGTCTCATGTCACAACTATGATGTGTGGTTCTTGTTCGAATGAAAACGCGTTTAAAACTATATTTATTTGGTACGCTGAGAAACAAAGGAAGGGTAATTCGTTCACGAAGGAAGAAATAGAAACTTGTATGATGAATCAATTACCTGGCACACCGCAATTTTCGATACTTTCGTTTAAAGGTATTTATATTTATAAAGATGTAAATGGTATATAGATGGCATAAAAAAGAAAAAGTATTACACGAAATATTTAAACGAATCGAAAAAATAATGATTAAACATCGACGATTCAGGCGCATTTCACGGACGAACATTGGGATCCCTTTCGACGACGCACAGTAAATACATTCACAAGATAGATATCCCAGCTTTTGATTGGCCTACCGCATCGTTTCCCACGTACAAATATCCGTTGGATGAAAATATTAGAGAAAATCAGCAAGAGGATAAACGATGTCTAGCCCATGTATGTAATTGTCTTATTTATTAAATTCGATAATTCGATCATTATTGATATATATTCACCGATATAATCATAATTAATTTTCACTAGTTCGTTTTCATATTTTCCCCAGTTTCGTATAGTTATATTTTTTTGGCAATATCCTTTAGGTAGAGGAGCTATTTGAAAAATATAAAACCGAGAAGAAAATTCCAATTGCTGGCGTGATAGTTGAACCGATTCAAGCAGAAGGGGGTGATAATCACGCATCTCCTGAATTTTTTCAAGAATTGCAACGTATAACGAAGAAAGTAACGATTCGAATTAATATTACATCGTATCATCTTTTACAAGATTTTAAAATATCAACGATATAACGTTGATATATGCACATAATATGTTTCTTATTTGTTAATTAATATTTTCAGCATGGCGCAGCGTTGTTAATCGACGAGGTACAAACAGGTGGCGGCCCAACGGGAAAAATGTGGTGTCACGAACATTTTAATCTAGAATTTCCTCCAGATTTGGTAACTTTTAGTAAAAAAATGCAATTGGGTGGTTATTATCACATCGAATCTTTAAAGTATAAAATTTTCCTTTCGTGTTAATTAATAATCGTTTAAAAAACATTTATCGCTAAATACGTGTAATCGATGTAATTTACAGGCCTAAACAATCGTTCCGTGTTTTTAACACTTGGATGGGGGATCCAAGTAAAATAATATTACTTGAAGCGGTATTAGAGACGATAAGAAAGGAAAATCTTTTACATAGGGTTACAACTGTTGGAGATTATATACTAAAAAAATTGATGAATTTGCAAAATGAATTTTCTACTATGATTAATTCCGTACGCGGACGTGGAACGTTCATTGCGTTTAATTGCGCTTCACCTGAATTACGAGATGTGATAATCAAGAAACTTTTAAGCAAAGGTAATATTCGAATAATTTGTATCAATTGTAATCGATAATTTAATTTAGATAAACGTAACGCGAAAATACGAAACTTAATACAAACTTGAACAGGTATTCAAACCGGTGGCTGTGGATCCGAGGCGATAAGATTAAGACCCGCCTTGACGTTTACGGAAAAACATGCCGATATATTTCTAGATCGCCTTCGATCTATTTTAAAAGGACAATAATTTTAACGAAATAACGCTATATCGAGTTATATGCCGAGATGCATTCCACGTGTCTTCCAAAATTGTCTTCCAAAAACGTAATTAAAAGAGATTAGATAATTTTAATATACTTATACATACGTCAGAGAATGTATGTGTATGAATATATATTTGCATCGCTATTATTATATTACTTTTTTTATAATAATTTTAACATTTTATATAACATATGTAATAATTAATATATATTTTATTATTGTTTATCTAAAAAAATTTGATATCATTATAATAAGTATTATTCTTTATAATATAATTTTGATATTTTTCATCAAATTTATATTTACGTTATATTTCAACATGCAACCAGAATGTTGCTATGGCTAAAGAATATTTAATATATAATCAATCAGTATGTCTTCCAAAAAATTATTAAAAAGCTATTTAATCTATCGCTGTTTTTTCCCATTTCCATCGATGTTAACGTATAATTCTAACGTACAAGTCTTTCATTGATCCTTTTATTTGGTACATTTAATCTGTAATCTTATTTATTTTAACATTTTTCTTAAAATGTCACCAAAATGTTCATATTCTTTGTCATGACTTTTTTGTACTATAAATGCTATCATTTTCATCTAAAAGCAAAGCAAAAAAAAAAAAAGTGTTATTTATTAAAAATATCATAACTTAATAAGAATCATCTGAAAAAATTTATATCATATATGTTTACCTTTACTTTTGAATCTATAGAACCATGTCGTACGGATAAATTCCATAAATTTATAGCCATATGTGCTAATTGTGGATCACGTAAATCTGCTCTGATAATAAAGCAATTAAAAAGCTCCAATGCAAGAGTTGCTTGCTTCTCGAGTTGATCGGTAGAACCAAGATATTTTAAATGAGATAAAATTTCTTCTACGATTTTAGAACTTATTTTGTTTACTTCGCTTATAAATTTTTGATCAGATCCATATAATTTATCGTTAGAATCGACCTAAAAATATATAATAAAAATTAAAATACGATATTTAGATCAAGTTTCTTCAATATTTTTTTTATACTTATTTTAAAAATAATAACCTTTTCAACGTGATATGGATAATTTTCTTGAACAATTGTTGACAATAAGTCAAGCACGCGTAAATATAAATACGTTTTCATTGACGTATTTTCTTCGAAACACCGTTGAACAGCATTAAGTAAACCTCGCATGAGATATAAAACACCATGTTCTGGACTATCCTACAAATTTTTCTAATTTTTGTTACATTTCCTATATCATAAAAAATAATAAACAGGAAAAATAAAATTTGTGCAATATTATATTATACAAATACGTACTGGTACAACAAGCAACGTGGACAAAAAATTCGATAAATATGAAAGTAAATAAGGTTGTGAACTTTTTTGTCTTCCATCTATATCTATTGTTTTCGGCATTTCCGGAACTAAGCTTAACGCAGCTTTGAAACATGCATCAGCTAATAAAATAATTTTCAGTTAATTGTTATGTGTATGTATATATATATATATATATATGTATATATATATATATATATATATATATATATATATATA